GAGGAAGGGAGAGAGACAGAGAGTTAGAATCTTCGATGAGAGTGAAACATCGATCAGCTGCCTCCTGCACATCTCCCACTGGGGATATGCCCACAACAAGGTACATGCCCTTGAACGGAATCAAACCCGGGACCCTTCAGCCCGCAGGCCGACGCTCTATCCACTTAGCCAAACCGGTTTCGGCTATCATCTGAGTCTTAAAGAACATATAACCACTTCATGTTCCCTTCAAATCAAAGATTCTAGTGGTCATTTTACAGTTTCTTTAGAGATGAACCTGATTTTCTTCCCATTAAACCTCTCTTCTGATGAGGAGAGAGCCCATAGCTTAACCCTGAACTGATTCCTCTCCCATAGGAAAAGCTCCAGGCAGCTCTGGACAGGCTGAGGGCAGAGCATCAGGAAGGTGAAAAATTGGATGATAACCTTGAAGAAGAGAGAACTTCCAAGAAGGTAGGAGGAGACTTTTTCTGGTAATTATCCAAGAATCTGGGCATGACTTTGGGTTTTAGTCACAAGGAGCTCCCTTCCTTCTTGTTTTCTGACAGTTGATATGTCCAGAGTCATTGATTAACCATTGTATATTCTTTCCCTGGTAGGGACAGGGCTGGAAATAAGCATGTCACAAAGTAATGCTGATATTTGTAGGCTAGTTATTCCCATAGATAGACTCTATGGTGAGGATGGTAGTGAATTTTACATTCATTTATCTTTTCTTTTCTTTTCTTTTCTTTTTTTTTTTTGAGCCTTAAACTCTTCCAGGGAAGACAGTTACCAATGGTTCATGGCTCTGTCCCAGGTGCTCAACTTAGGCTGAGGGTGGGGTGGGGTGAGGAGTAATGCATGGAGGCATCACTGTCCTGGGCAGCTCTGAGAGCTGAGCCACACCCAGGAGTCCCATTTGGGTTCGGGGTTGGCCTCAATAATGTAGACATGAGAGCATTATTTTGGAATGTAATGAAGATGAAATAATGGGGAAAATCAGCCTCCCCAAGAATTGCTCCTCTGCTTCCATCTCTCTTCCCTCTGAAAACATCCAAATCAAATACTTCCTCTTCTGGATCCCACTCTGCCTGATAAACTGAGTCCCTGTCTTTCTTTCTCATTCCTGAAGGATCAGATAGAACATGAGCTGAAAAGTGTCCAGGATTATTTTAAACAACTGAGAGGTATCCTGGCCAGTGAGGAGCAAAAGGAGCTGCAAAGGCTGGAGAAGGAGGCGGCAGAGAATCTCGATGACCTGGCTCAGGCTGAGAGTGAGCTGGCCCAGCAGAGGAAGTTGTTGAGAGATCTCATCTCAGATCTGGAGCATCGGTTGCAGGGGTCAGCAGTAGAGATGCTGCAGGTAAGACTTAGAAATAAGCCCCAGCATCTGAACTTAAGGAAAATTAAGACTAAGTTTCCTTCTCTGCTGTGTGACTGTGTAGTTTGTGGTGTTGACCCTGAGGTTCCATTCGTCTTGCAGTGACCCTGCCCTGTATCTGTTTCAGAGGTTATTGGAATTGTTGAATGCATGAACAACAAGGAAACGTCTGGTTCTTATTAATGTATCAATTAAAGTACAAAATTGACTGTGAAGAGAAGATTCCTTGTATTCTGTAGGCCCCTGTGTCTGTGATCTAACCTAGAACTTTATTCAGGTATCTCTTCATGATCCAAGAGTTGTTGTTTTTATTTTTAGAATAAGTTGAAGTTTTTCTGTTCTTTCTGAATTTTCTGAATAAACAGTTGTGAAGGATTGGAATCATTTATTTTTTATTTCCGTACATTTACCAGTGAAATCATTTCACTCTGGGCCTTTATGTTAACGGAAAAGTTTAAAATATTTTTTTTTACTTGTATTAGGTTTTCTCAGGTTTTTTTTATGTCTTTTGAGTCAGTTCTTGGTAATGTACATCATTGTAGAAATTTGTCCACTTTAAGTTGTCAGATTCATAAGCATGAAATTAGTCATTATTTCTTAGAATATTTTTTCATTTCTACAATACTAACAGTAATGGCTCCTCTTTTGTTTCTGATTTTGTGATTATCTTTGGTCCAGTAAATTATAATTTGTCAAGGTCATTACGTTTTTTGTTTTGTTTGTTTGCTTTTTAATATATATTTATTGATTTTAGAGAGAAAGGCAGAAGGTGAGAGAGATAGAAACATCCACGATAAGAGAGAATCATTGATCTGCTGCCTCTTGCATGCCCCCTACTGGAGATTGAGCCTGCAACTGGGGCATGTACCCTTGACTGGAATTGACCCAGGACCCTTTAGTCTGCGGGGCAACGCTCTATCTAGTGAGCCAAACTAGCCAGGGCTCATTGATATGTTTTAGAATAAATTTTACTGAGAGAGAGAGAGAGACATCCAGTGAGGGAGAGGCACATTCATTGGTTGCCTCCGGCACACACACCAAAGGAGGCCAGGGATCAAACCTGCAACACAGGTACACGCCCTTCACCAGAAATTGAATGTTGGGAGTCTTTGGTTCTGGGGACAACACTCTCAGCACTGAGCTGTACCACCTAAGGCTTAAAGTAGGAATTTTGACCCCTGACTTCACCGTCTTTTCTCTTACAGTTTTTAATGTTATAAATGCATTGTTTTAGCTATATTCCATATATTTGGATTATTTACTTATCTGTTTGTTTTTTTATTGATTTCAGAGAGAAAGTGAGAGGGAGAGAGATAGAAACATCAATGATGAGAGACAATCATTGATCAGCTATCACTTGCATGCCCCCTACTGGAGATGGAGCCTGCAACCCTGGTGTGTGCTCTGACTGGGAATTGAACCTTGACCTCCTGGTTCATAGGTCAGCCCTTAAGCACTGAGCTCCACCTGCTAGGCCTTGTTATTTTGAATCAATTTAACTTTTTTTCAAATTTGCTTTGTTATTTTTATCTTAACCCTTAAAATATTTGAAATGGTGGTGTTTAATGTACAAACACTTGGTGATTTTTTACTTTTTTTTCTGTTGCGTGTTTTAAATTTAATTCCTTTCTAATCAGAAAGCATGTGTTTTATTATTTCAACTTTATAGATGTGTTGACTTGCTTTTTCTACTAAAATATTATATGTCCATATTGTTTATGTGAATTTGAAAATAATTAGAAGTGTGTATTGATTGGGTGAAAGGGTCTTTAGTTGTCAGGTGGAGCTGGTTGACAATGTTGGTCATGTCTTCTACATCATGATGATTTTCTTATTTACATTTTTGCTTTTTATTTTCTCCTTTTCTTAAGTCTCTTTAACCTTCCTTATAATACTGATTTGGTAGTGATTATCTCCTTTCTTATTATACTGATTTGGTGGTGATTGTCTCCTTGAGCTTTTTCTTATCTAGGAAGCTCTTTATGTCTCCTTCAATTTTAAATAGTGGCCTTGCTAATAATAATAATAATAATAAGCCTTGCTGGGTAGAATAATCTAGGTTGTAGGTCTTTGCTTTCCATCACTTTGAATATATCATGCCACTCCCTTCTGGCCGGCAAAGTTTGAGTTGAGGAATTAGTTGGGATACTTATGGAGCCCCCTTATAGGTAACTAACTGCTTTTCTCCTGCCTTGTTTAAGACTTTTTTTCTTTTTATTTTTTATTTCTCACTGGGTGTTTTTTATGCTTTCTATCTCCTTTCTATGTTTCTTCTCT